AACTATTTAAACAATATGGGCACTTGCATTTTCTTTCTCTAAACACAGTGTTATTTCCCAGTGTCATTTCTCTGTTTGGACTCGGAGTTATAAATCCCTTTTATTTTGATGTTCTTAATAGATGTTGATTGGTAGAATGCCATGCCTAGTCTTTATATTCGATATATCATGTATTACCTGCAAAGTTCTTCTTTGCTTTGTACAATCTTTTGGTTTTACCTTTTGATCTAAGATAAAACCGGCAGAAGCAATGTGATTCCTGTCTTTAATGTAATAGGATTCCAGACATTAGGAATTTGCACTTCAGAATGCAGCCGGAAGTGGGGAATGGGTTTATTCAACAATGATGTTTTGTTGGATGAATTGTGTTGGTTGCTTACAAGTATGTGTGTGTTCGTTTAGAAGCAGTAAGAGCAGGTTTTTGCTTTCCAACAAATCATTCTTGGAAAGTGGTTCTCAGCTGCTGTAGATAAGGTAAAATATAGAATACATTTGGTTTAGGAAAATTTTACATTTAAATTTTTTTTTTTTTTTTCTTTTGAGGAAGCCATGGGACTTCCAATCTGCGGGAAAAAGTTTCCTCATTCCAGTTGTTTTGTCGAGGTCAGCTTAGCAGCTCACTTATGCCTCAGGGGTTGAGATTTTTATAGTGTGTGTTAAATCAGTGCCATGATTTGACCCAAGAGAATAAGACTTAGGGAAAAGAAAAGAAAAGAAAAAAAAATCTCAGCATTGCCAGTAAGATACTTTTTTTTTTTTAAGAACCGAATTTCAGATTCACACTTTAGAAAGATATAGTCAGCAACCCAATGAAATTTAGAATGAGGCAAATTCTCCATCTGCCCCCGAATATTCTCTCACTGCAAACAATACACAAAGTTTAGGAATCAAGCCTAAAGGCTAAAGGTTCTTGCTGTCAAGCCAAAAAGGGAGGAAAGAGGTATACTGAAGCATGTCAGTTTCCAGATTCTGGGGCCAAGCTGCTGTTCTTGAAAGGAACAAGGCATCTTCAGAAAAATGTGGTTATCAAACAAGGGGTCAAAGTTTATCTCTAGGTCAATGAAAAGGAGGGGGGGAGGGCCATCCTTCAGGCTCTGAATATAAGCTTTGTATTTAAATAAATTTGTGGCAAAATATTCAGTTCTTAAAAAATTACCCTATAAGGTTTATTAAAGGTTATTTACTAATGGAATAAAAATTGTTCTCACTCATAATTCATATGGAGTAATAATACTAATAATAGGTGTAGGAAAATAAATCTTCACATACGTAGTTTAATCGTCAAAACAATGCCGTGAGGGACATACTCCCACTCTGTGGATGAAATACTAGAGGCTTAGATGCATGAGCATCTCTTCTAAAATTATAGATAGGGGCACATAAATACACTGTTCCTTCCACCCCTCTTCCTCCAAAAACAAACAAACAATAAAAGGATGGTGACGATGTGAATTAGTCCTCATTTGATTTAACATAAAATACAAATGTGCCCCAGAGCGTTCCAGAAAACCAAGTGGGTTTTAGGATGGAAGGACGTCTCTCGAATATTCCTCTTCCTTGAAGCGGTCCTTTTTTTTCTCCCCTTTCCCCCAGAAGGGTCTGCGGTTCTGTCCCCGCCTGGGTTCCCACAGCCCTCCGGTGTGGGAACGCCTCGAGGGGGTCGCCACCAGGGCCAGGCGGCGCAGGCGACCCCCGCGGGCCCCAAAGCCCCAAAGCGCAAGGTCCCTGCACGCCGGCCGGGAGCCTTCCAGCCCCGGAGGCCCTGGGCTCCGCGCGGCTCTCAGATGCCAAGGGCCCCAGAGTCCCCAGGACTCCTCATTGTTTCCTGGAAAAATATCCCAGTGGGACTTTGGGATCGGTGGCCACGGGCATGCATGCCCCTGGGCCTTCTAAACAGACCAATGAGCAGGTAGTTCATTTGGTGACCTTTCCTACACAGAATCACGAGTGACTTTGCAACAATGTCTGGAAAATAGGCAGTGAGTTGCTTCGTGGAGATCACGGGCAACAGGAGTCTCCGGAACGAGCGTGATAAAGCCTCAAAGAATTATTTCAAAGTTCACTGGTGATGCAGGTTTTAACTTCTCTGGTAGCTGTTGGGGCAGAAAAATAATTGTCCTAGGCTTGTACGAGTGCCCAAAACATGAAAGTGTAGTATTAATTGGCCCTTTATGTTTGGCTGCATGAGTTAAAAGCGAAGGAAAACAAAATCCATCTTGAATTACGATGATGTGCAAAATTCCAATAGGCAGACAAAGAGGGTGAAGAGTTAGAAATTCTGAAGGTCTGAACATGCGGAGCCATTTACTGAAGAAATATTGATTGGGTCCCTGTTGGGAGAAGGCACCCGGAGACATTTAAACGAAGTGTAGACAGTTTAAAGCGTATATCTATGTGGAACCTGCTCTCCCCCACCCCGCCCCCCATTTAGTACTGTTTTTCCTCACCAAAAAAAATGGCCTGTGGACTGTTGCCCCTGTTGTGTGCTCATTCTGTGAATATTTTCCAGATTTTACTAGCGGGTTATACAACATGTTGTAACTATTACTAGTTGTATTTCACTGTCTCCAACTTGCCTTATTAAACCGAAGTTATCTCACAGCTCCAGGAGTCACTTCCGTGCTGCAGATTGAGCTTTAGGGTTTAGGGTCGGGTGGCCGCATCTGTGCTTTGAGGGAGAGTCGGTCTAGGGACAGTGTAAAATTTCAAAATGGAGAGCCAGTTCATCAAATTCAATGCTGGCTTTCTGGGATGGAGTCAGGTTACTTTCCCCAACACAAGTCGTGTCCTGGGAGCATCGCATTAAAAGTACCGTATTGGCACTCACGTCCTGAGTTTCAGGAAAAGGAAATGTGAAAGACTGTCCGTTTCAACATCGCTGTTAGATACAGTATTTTGTTTTTGTATTTATGAGAAATTGAGACTTCCAGGCTACTAGGGAAGAAAAGTTAATTCCTTGCAGTAGAGAAATCAAAGAGCAGTTTCCGAGTCTCCCGGGCTGAGCCTGGAGGAGGTTAGGGGGTCTTTGTGCCTGGGGGATTGTCTCAGTGGGAGTGGAGAGAGGGAGCGGGAGGGATCAGGAAGTGCCTTCCTCGGTGTGAGCCCAGGGATCAAGGAGGGATGGGGGAGGAGAGGGGGGAGCAGGCTGAGAGGGAGGGGTGGCGCGGATCAGGGAATCTTCCAGGGATGGTGAGCACAGTCCTTGTGGCTGGTTGGAGGGAAGAATGGTTTTCTGTGCGCAGAAAGAGTCCCTCATGGGAACTGTGAAAACACTCAAGAGGATGTGCCTGTCGGGCCAGTTTGCCCCCTTGGAATGTGATTGGTTCTGATACGCCCCAATCCCAGAAGGAAGGAAAGAGTCCGTGGGCTCTGATGCTTCCAATGACAGGACCTGGCACAAGCCATAGGGAGGTGATAGCTCATCTTCAAGGAGGCTCTTGAACTGTGGGTAAGGCATATGACTGGGCATATATATCATCACTGCCCAGTTAGGGACGTTTTCTCAAATGCACCTGAGCTCTCGTGGTAGGAAGGGTGTGCCTCTGTCAGTTCACGGAGGAGTTTTGGAGCACATCTCTTTTGAGCTTAATGTGTAGCTGATATGCTATCCTCCCCCCCGCCCCCCAAGAAAAGGAAAAAAAGAAAAGAAAGGCCATCATCACAACACCATGCAAATTAGGAATGATCACCCTTGTTTTACGCATGAGCTCCTTGGGGTTGGAGGAGATCAAGTAGCCTTTTGAGGGCCATAGTGGCAGAAAAATGATCCAGGATTTGACTCTCCACGCGTTAGGTGAAAACCTAGCCCAGTGGTACGCCAACTTCCGGAATCTACCAGTCACACATAAGAGAACCTGAGTTAGTGTATGTAAGGTGCTCAGAACATTGACTGACGCGGTAAACGCCAGACAAATGTTGTCATTATTACACTTAATTTCTGGGTTCCTTGCTTAAAAGACTATTTCTAGGATCACTTTCAGGTGATTTGGATTTTGCAGAACAGGGGTCGGGCTTAGATATCATCATTTTCCTCAAACACCTCGGGTGATTCTGATGCAGATGTTGGTAGATGATTTGCACAATATTCCCATGTAATAGTGATGCTAAGATTTTATCACCCAGTGAGGACGCTCCAGCAAGAAGGACACCCCTTTCTCCATCTCCTTGAGACTTTGACCACATTTAGGCAGGGCAGGCATTTCCTACCATACGCCTGACTCATTCTCAGTATTAAAATCAGATCCCATGGCTCACGGTTTTGAAGACTATATACATTCCCTCTTTCTCCAGTGAAATCTGTAAATGTGTTTGGCTATTGAACCAGGCAAAATCTCCATTTCTATAGATATCGCAACGTGCTCAACCGAATTGAGAATAGAACGTTTAATTGTAAGCCTTAAGCATAGGACACTCTGTGATACGTGCGTTTTGACATTAACTGAGGTGTTTGATATCCTCATGCCCTAGAGCGATAGGAAGATACTATGAAAAGAAGATCTCGAAGAGATCTTTGGGCGTTCTCAGCCAGCCACGATACTCTCTTGCATCCTAAGTAATCATGGCATTGATGTCTCCATCAGTGGAGGGGCAGACCCAGAGGTGGGTCTCAGAGGTGCCTTTGTGGTAAAATAATACCCAGAGACTCTGGGAAACCTAGATTTCCAAAGGTCTTTCTGGACACGGAAGAGTCCTTGAATTTCAGACCTCCAGGGTAACCTTGTATGTTTAAAGCATCGATGGTTCTTATTGTAGGAGGAAGCATGTCAGAACAGGCCAGCATACTTGGATCCAACAAACCCAATCTAAATGTAAGGGTGGGACAAGACTGTGACGGCCACCCCCTCCCATTCCCTGGCAAAGAATGTATCTACCGAACACATACTGGGATTGGGAGTCCAACTGTCTTGTGAATAAATGAATGTAAAATTAGAGAAAAGTGTTGTGACAAAGTTATTAAAAACTTTGACCTTTTTTTTTTCCTCCCTGGGAAAGAGAGCATGTGTCTCAACGTACTTATCTTTGACAACTTGTTTTATTGCCGTTTCTGGTGGTGCACCATCTAGATTGATTGGTATCGACATCCGGAGTCTTAGCATGAAGTGTTGAATCCTTGAATCACACCCCAACGTGTCTTCAGTGTTCGAGAAAGTTAGCACACTAATGTCAAACCAGGATATACATTTTATACTTCAACACCGTGGCTTACCTTTAGTTTGCCTTTCTCTAGTACTCTGCATTTTTCAGAGACTATTCATACCCCTGTAAATTGGTTCCTCATAATCACCTGTGGCTTGTTATTACTCCTTTACAAATGGGGAATGTGAGAGCGATACAGTTTAGGCAACGTGCCCAACAGACCATCTGGGTTGAGAACAGGATCCTGGGAATAGAATATGTCTCTCTTCTGTGCTGCTTCTAGCTTCCTTGTTTAGCGGATTGGTAAATTTGCTGCCCCGGTGGTGGCAATTTGGATAAACAGGGTGAGAGTGGTGTATGGGGCATCAGGGGCATAGGATTAGGGAGTGAGGGGACAACTGCGTTTCTACCGTTTCTGTGGGTGTAACCAGCGGTTCATGGCAGAGGTCATCGAGTGTATAACATAGAGATCCAAGATATCCAAGAGTCTGAAGATATCCAAGATAATCCAAGGTATCCAAGATATCCAAGATAATCCAAGATATCCAAGATAATCCAAGAGTCCGAACTCAAAGCAAACGTCAACATGAAACTTAAGTAACCACAACAGCAAGACTCACATCCCCTGGGAAACTGTTGTCCAATCAGAAGAGTTTCCTCATTCTCTCTCTTCTTGTGAGCTGAGCAATAGCGTGGTTCTTGGGCGTAATTAGCCCGTGAATTACATGTGGCACCGGCTGTATGAAGTTGAGTAACAACACAGGGACCTGGATTCTTGTGGGAAAAAGTCCCCCACAATTCTGGCTTCATTCATGCCTGGACATGAGGGAATGACAGCAGCAGGAGATGGGGCCAGGCATCCCCTCCTACACACCACAGGAGGATATTGGGACTTGAGACATGCTAGGGAAAAGTGAGAGTTTTGGCTCTGTATTTTGCGTGCCCTCGGATGGTGGTAGTGATGATGGGCTTTGGGGATGAAGCTTGGCCCAGAATCAATAAACATGAATCTCCGTATACATTACATCAGGCGGGGGGGGGGGGGGGGGGGGGCGGCCATACTAGCTACCTGACTGTTTCTGTGCCTCAGCATTTCATCTGCAAAACAAGGGATGATCATAGTGTTCATTTGCTTTAGATGAATGAAAGCAAGTAAAGGTGCTTGACATGGTACTTGGTGCAAATTGAGTCCCCATAAAATGTTGGTCGTTGTATAGGCCAGGCCATTTTTTTTTTTCTGCAAAGGGCTATAGAGTGAGTATTTTTGGTTTTGCAGACCATTGGTCTCTGTCAGCTTGCCTTTGTAGCCCGTGATCACAAAAAATACATAAGCGTGTGGCTATGTCCTAATAATCTGTATTTATAGACGCGAAGATTTCCTTTAGTCTTTCTGTGCTGATGTTATTCTTAACAATTTTTAAATGTTTTTATTTATTTTTGAGAGAGAGAGAGCAAGCAGGGGAGGGGCAGAGAGAGAGAGAGGGAGACACAGAATCCGAAGCAGGCTCCAGGCTCTGAGCTGTCAGCACAGAGTCTGATGCGGGATTCGAACTCACGAACTGCAAGATCATGACCTGAGCTGAAGTCAGACACTTAACGGACTGAGCCACCCAGTTGCTCTTGATGTTCTACTTCCTTTGGATTTTCCCCCCAACCATTTAAGAGTGTAAGAACCATGCTTGGATCACAGGACATGCAGATATCGACAGTGGTTTGTGTTTGGCTGCTCCCTGGTGTAGACCTTCACGTCTTTAATTTGGAAGAAATTATGTTATTTCCTAGCGCCACATCTTTGTTTGTGGTGATTCTCATGCTTAGGGTTCTTTCTGTTGGCATCTTCTGGTTATGCAGCAAAGCATGTGACAGTGGGAGGGGTGGGGGGGGTGGCGAGGGGGGTTGACAGTCTTCCTCACTCACCCCAAATTGGCTATCCAAATGGAACACTTCTAGAAGACCATTGAAGTAATAGGGTAGATGGTCCATAAGTGCAAATGTACATTTTTAATTTTGTGGAGTCTTAGCAAGGTCGGCTCAAAATTTCATATGTAATAAATCTTTCTCACATGATGCGGTAGAACTGCTCTGAGATAAGCGGAAAGTAGTGTCTGATGTATTTACAAGTGCAAGGAAATGTAAAGGAATCTAGTCCCCAGTGAGTCATTTGGGGTAAAGCTATGTGACATCCTATACCCTATTCAGGATTTAAGAAATCTCAGATGAGAATAAAGCCACATCTTCAGATGCAAGTAAAGAAGAAATGCAGGGGAGCCTGGGTGGCTCAGTTGGTTAAGCGTCCGACTTCTGCTCATGGTTCGTGGGTTTGAGCCCCGCGTGGGGCTCTGCGCTGACGGCTCAGAGCCTGCTTGTTGGGATTCTTTGCAACTTCTCATAAGAAGACCCAGGCTTTTTTGAGGGTACTTCTCAACACTGGAACTGTTTCCATTATTATAAAAGTCATACGTATTTATTGCAGAAAACATCTTGAAGTAGACTTTCCCCAAACATTTCAGTTGCATTCCGTTTGAGGCCCTAATGGGTATAAGCAACATGCACGTGGAAGGCACCACACTCGTGGTAGTGATTTCGCGAGGGTGTCACCAGGCTCATGAGATCCCTACCTAGGATATGTTCCAGGTTCCAGGATACTTCCTGAAGGTTAGAAGACAAAGCAAAATGGCTTCCCATATTTATCATGAGGTTCTCTGAACGTCTGTGAAGGGCATGTCTCCACTGTTATAGTTTATAGGATAAGCTTTACTCACAGGCTGTGGAAGTGGCTACGTCCAAGAGTTGATTTCAGAATTGGGCAAGAAACGCCATGCGCCTGTGAAAGATTCTAGGTAGCTTATAATTATGACTACTGGTTGACTTGTCTGTCCCTGCTACTTGTGGTAGGATGGGTTGTCATTGCCACTGTTGATGGATGTTTAGACCTTTCGTGGAGGGACGTGTGGATGTAGAAAGCGAGCGTCTTTCCCTTGTGCATTGCATTTAGGGGCTTTCTGGCTTTAGCAGCAATTCATGAGTGGTAGTGGGTTTACAACAAAGCAAACTTCAGAACCTTCACTGATAAGGATGCCTTTCAAATTCCTGCAAAGGCCTCAACAGTGTGTCCCATGGTCATGTAATTCTGTAAAACATGCCAAATTAAGCTAGTTTTATGTCATTTAAAAATATTTATGTATTTGTTATTTATTTATTTTTGAGAAAGAGTGTGCACACGCACAAGCGAGTGGGGGAGGGGCAGAGGGAGGGTGGGGAGAGAGAGAGAGAATTTTAAGCAGGCTCCCCACCCAATGTGGAGCCCAACACAGGGCTCAGTTTCACAACCCTGAGATCATGACCTGAGCTGAAATCAAGAGTTGGACGCTTAACCGACTGAGCCACCCAGGTGCCCCTGTTCTTTGTTTAAAAGCAGCATTCCCAGACACCAAATTGTAGAAACTTCAGGCTCCACAAAACATCGATCTGCTTCTGGCTCTATATTTTCAGGGTGGGACTTACTCAAACCTTTTTGGAAGGGAAGAAGAACGTCTTTGTTGAAAGATAAGTAGGATCCTGGAAGTTGAGGGTTAATCTTCCATAAGGCCTACAGTTGAAGAAGAAATTGTGAAAGGGAAAGATCTTCTCTGGGAAAGAAGCACGTAGACGCTGTTGGTGTCCTCCTGTATTCAAAGAAATTTGAGAAGTTTGGGAAAAAGAGGGGCACGTGTCTTTAGCTGATCAAAGAAGAACCTCTTATACACTCATCTTTTTCTTTTCCAGAGAAAGTGAAAGCCTTAACGTAATGCCATTTTAATTTGACATTGGCTAATACATTTTGTATAATTGGTGCTGCATCATCTCCTACAATAATAGTGACAATATGGCGGTGATGGTGATGAGAAAAACATGCATGTTATGCGACCGTTACAGTTTACTGAGCACTTTGCCGTATTTTTTTTCTCATTGGTAATAACCAAAACCAAGAGAAAGTCTCTTTACCTATGGCCTGTGGATGCCTTCCAAATTAACTGGAGTTCTATGAAAGATTGAGGTAGAATGGGGTCCCTGTGCTTCTTTCAATATTCTTTCCTTATTTTGTGACGGAGCCGTGACACCATCAGTCAGCTTCTCTTTTGTAAATTCTTCAGCATCATGGCAGTCAAAATAACCATTGAACTTTGACACACAAAGCCAGTGCTCTTAGAATGGCCTCTAAGTTTTTGCTTGCAAAACTACTCATCTGGCAAGCACAGAACCAAGATCCCTCAAAACCTGCTCTCGGTGGTGTTTGCATTCATTAGATTTGTCTGTATGGACTTACTAGTTGCTCTGCTGACCTCTGAATGTTTGACCCATTAAATGAAAAAGCACCATTGGGATGCACAACTAAATTTATAGTAATTCAAGGAAGTGGTCAGAGAAATGTATGGTTGCAAAAGAGCTGACCTCAAAGTTTAGTCAATAGTTCAGTTAAGAAGCACAAGTGCTGAATGTATGGAAAGTATGAAGTGCTCTTGCAGTCCAGAGAAAGGAGGGGTATTGATGGGTGGGGGGTTCCTGGGAAGTTTGGGGACCTATGAGGACATCACGTTAAGATGGGCAGAAAGGGCACGCCAGGTTCAGTTAGTTAGGGTGGGAAAATCAAGATAGGACGAGTCCTTGGTCCCTTTTGGCAAGTTCATGGGATTCTGGAAAAGTATGTTTGTTCCAGTCCAGTGAAAATAGTTCCATACAGTGAACCCTTAGCAGATTTTTGCATATGTGTTCAACTTCGCGTTAATTATTAGTGTTCAGGATGCCTGGGTGGCTCAGCTGGTTAAGCATCTGACTTTGGCTCAGGTCATGATCTCACGGTTCATGGGTTTGAGCCCTGCGTCTGGCTCTGTGCTGACAGCTCAGAGCCTGGAGCCTGCTTCGGATTCTGTGTCTCCCTCATTCTCTGCCCCTTCCTGGCTTACGCTCTCTCTGTCTCTTTCAAAAATGCATAAACATTAAAAAATTAAAAAAAATTAATAGGTTTCTACATTTTAAAGCGGATTTACTCAGAAATACACTAATCATTATTTCTTATAAAAATGGTTATTAGTCATCTATATTTGAATATATATGTTACTTGAGCAAAGAAATTTGCTAATGGTACTAAGATGATAGAAATTATTTGCATGCATTTTAAGAGAGAAGGCCTGATGATTATCTTCTCAACACTTATTTGGCTAATGCCTAGCTGGCTTGTTGAGACTTTGGGCAAATCCTTTTAAACACTCCGAGTGTCAACTTTATTTTTTTAAAAAGGATAATACTGTCTAACTCACAGAATTGTTAAAAAGATATAATAAAGAGTGTTAAAAGTCAGGAACAAAAACAGCATCATGTAATGGTTAGATGTACATGGAATGGTTGGGAGGCTAAATGTTTACTTTTTTCCCCCCAAGGCCCAATTTGAGTCCAAAGTCCATCTCATTTTTTTCATATTTATTTAAAAGTGTTTGTTTGTTTGTTTGTTTGTTTGTTTGTTTGTTTCAAATAAGCTCTACACTCAACGTGGGGCTTGAACTCACAACCTCAAGATCAAGAATTGCCAGCCAGGCGCCCCTGATTCATCTTTAGATTCAGTGGTTCTGGGAGGGGGACTGTAGCTACCAGAGCTGACTAGAATATAGAAGTCAATTCAGCCACAGAGCCACAGAAAATTATGCGTTGACACTGTGATAAAAAGGAAAGAACCAAAATTTAGAATTCAAAGATGTAAGTTTGAGATTTAACTCTGCCACTAACAGGCCAGGTGATGATAGAAGTATCATTTCATCTGTTTGAAACTCAGTCTTGTTTTGTTTTGAATCTGTAAGGTAAAGTACAGTCTGATGATCTTTAAAATGATTTCTAGCTTTTAAAGTTCCAATGCTAAGCAGCACGTTTAACGTAAAGCATGACCACTAGTAAGTAGTGGTAAAAAAGATTTTAAACAGTGATGTATTCATATCCCCGCCCCCCCCCCCCCCCCTGTAATTTACATTGTTATTTACCTGGATGTCATCTTGCTGTGCTTCTGCTGGTTTTCTTCTCCAGCCGGTGTCCCGCTCTGTGCACATACTGATCCTGCTCTGGCTTCTATCAGGGAGAAGGAAGCATTTTAGGGGCCCCCTCTTACTTAGTGATAGCCTAGTTAGAAATGGGGATAAGGATTGGGAGGAATGGCCAGTAAAGACAACCACCTTGGATGCTTCAGGCCTTTGAGAAGCTTTTAAACAAGACTGGCTTATTTATAGTGAGATGTATGGGAACAGCTTCTGTGCTCGTTGGAGTGAATTATATGCTGGCGTCCTGTGAATGCAGTGCGAGTACATGTCATTTATCTTGGTCCGTATATAGAGAGATGGGCACATGCTTATATTTGCACCTTCAAATGTATCTGCAGGTGTATATGAGTAAACAGGAAGGAGTAGTGCTACAGAATTTCAGAACTCAAGTTAAATTTGCACATAATAATACTATCAACCAAATTTGTTGTTATTACCAAAACGACAAAGATAAATTCATTTGAATGCTTGCTGGAGGGAAGAGTTTTATTTACCTTTTTAAGGTGTAATTAATCAAGAAAGAGTTTTTAAAAACTTACATTTCGTTAATAATATACACAGAACAAAAGACTGGAAAGAAACAAGTAAAGAAGTTTGGTCAATCTATATCTAACTCTTGCTCTGTCCATCCATTCATCCAGCCAGCCAGCCAGCCAGCCAAACGTCCATTTATAGAATCTAACTCCTTAATTTAAAATCAATTGTGTTTGTTTTGGTTTCTGGGGTTATTTTTTTTTTTTTTTTTTTGCACTGCCCAAATTTTATTTTTTACTGTAATGTACATTTACCGAGTGAAAACAAAAGTGCCCCAAAAATAGAAAATATATTTTGTCCATGAAACTCTTCTTAAGAATAAACTTATTGTTGGGTAGTGAAGAGTAGGACTTGAGTTTGAATTGGATTAAATATTAGCACTATCCTGACATGCTGATGGGGTGATTCCCAGTTAAAATCACTGGCTGGCGTGAGTGGAAAACATGAGTAGGACTATCTTTGGTTTCCATCCAAGAGGGTCTGTAATTTATTCAAAGCTGCCAAGGATCAGGACATGTTTTAAGACCCTCACTCTCCCACTCTCGTCCCTCAGAGCAGGCTTTCCCAACTCAAAAGGACTTGTCATCAGTCTTCTGGGAAAGGAGTGTCTGGGGTCAACCCACTGACTCTAAAATCACTTACTGCATTATTACTCGTCTTTGCTAGGATAGACAGCTAACCCTCTTCTCTTCTTTCTTCTCTCCCTCCATTGCTCCCTTCTACCCGGCATTTCCTTATTAATTTCCCTTCAGTTCTGAAAGATTATTCCTGAAAAGGCAACGTAGAGGGGCAAGGCAGTTGTCTAGTAATTCACATAGAAGCCGGCTACCGAAGACATCCTTGTATTTTTTTTTTTTTTTTTTTCTTCTTCTGAGACTGGGTGCCTGAGCTGTTCACACTGGCTGGGGACACTAATCAACACGATCAGAGAGTGAATTGCTTAAAACTATATTTCAATTTTGTTTTTTAGACGTGTATCAGTAGACATAAAAGCAGATGCGAATTTGCCTCCGAGCAAACATATTCAAAGCTCTTTCCCATGGAAACCAAAATGAATGTTGGCATAGAGGGGAGGCCAAGTATATTTAATTTCTTTTAGGCTAGTTGCCTGATTTTTGATCCATCAGCCTTCTTGTTCAGGCCCTGAGGTACTTGGGAGCACAGAATTTATTTACTTTCAGAGCTACCTTAAACATTGACACACAGCACAGACACGTGTCCTGGGTCAGCAGGAGTAGAGTACCCTGGCCAACATTTTGGGTTTCTAAGGGAATTAGATATGGAGCAAGAGTTGAATACCCTTTTTAATTGGATACATGTATACTGGCTGATTATAGACAGGATCTTTGGAAGAGGTAGCAGATGAGACATTGGACGAGGCTCTTATTTCACAAATTTGGAAATTTCTACAAGGCTTCAGTGGCCACTTTTCCCTCAGTCTTAACCTAGAGAGAGCATTTTCCTCACGCTAGTCCTTTATGCCTGGTGAGCTTGGACAATATGGTGGTGAAGGGAGGCAGAGGGGGGCCATATTTGCTGAGGATACATTGCTCGTCGGGAACTGTTCTGTGCTTTACAAACGCTTGCCTTTCCTTTAAATCCGCCTTTGAGGCAGGTGTATGGAGCCACACTTACTCATGAAAGAACCGGTTTCAAGGGTTAAGCAGCTTTCCCCATATCAGAGAGGAAGCGGCCCATTGGGCATTTGGAGTCGACTGGCCTGTCTCCAGGGCTGGAGGTCTTCTGCCAGACGGCCAGCTTTGTGTGCCCAGACCTCTGGAATCACTTCTGAGTTCAATGGTGACTGTGGCTCAGACGCAAAGAGAAGAAAACAACATTTCAAAAAGCGGGGAGGTTGATAAATCGTTCATACCCTCTCCTTAGTCATCTCGACCGGTTGGCCAACTTCCCAGACCTGAGCCTCATACCTCTGCAGGCTGAAGGGGCGAAATCACGGTCTCTTCCTTGTTTTCCCTTCCCTCCCAGCCTCGACTGAAGTTTCTTGCGCAGTAGGTATTCCGTGAATGATTTCTGACGGTGACCTTGATTTCTGACGGTGACCTGTGCCAGCGAGAATTACGCTCAGCCTCCTCTCTTGCCTCCAGGAAAAGTTTCCTCTTTCGCTTATGTTCAGTTATTACCTCTTTCTCTCTTCCAAGAAGCCATAATTGGCCCAGGTAAGATTTGGATTTTCAAAACAAGCTTCCTGTGCTGCCCCTTTTCTGAAACCCTCACGGAATCCCGTAGGAGACAAAAAGCGAAGAAACAATCTTGAAATGCCATATGGGAGGTGTCAGTGAAAGCATCTATGTATGAATTTGATCTCTATATTAAAGATCACAGGCTCACAGAATCTATGGCTCCGTTATTTGGTAAATAATGTATCTAGGTGTTTCAGCCTTGAGAGGCCGTTTAATCCCCCTGTTGCTGCAGGACACGGCTGGATTATCTTCTGTGCGTACCCAGGCTTGGCCTCCGTGGAGAGAGCACTGTGATGGGAGCCAGGTGATGCGACTTTTGCTTTCTGACTTTAAGTCCACACATCATTCATCTTTGCATCCTTGGTGCCGAGGACAACATCAGCCGCTGTTTCCTGGAGCATGTGTGTGATTCTGGACAACCCTGCTTGCTCTCTGGGCTTCGGCTCTGAGACGAAGGGACTGGCCTAGGGTTTCTGACGGTTCAGCAATTGCAGGAGTGCTTTCCCCTGGTCTGTCCAGGCTGTCAGGCGTCTATCTCTTTATGTAGGTTTCTGGCACAAAAGGTGTCGTATTTAACTTTCTTCTTAAATCTGCCTTTCTTGTGTTTGGTATCCCCCCCCCCCCGCCCCGAATATCTCCCGCCATGCTAATCCTGACAAAATTTAGTTGTCGGTAAAACAGCGTGGGTCGCGTGTGTCTTTGCTAGTCCTGTCTCAATAAGGGTGGCAAAAGCGTTCTTTTGTTTTTCTACCCCCTGAAAGGCTCTTTGTGCAACTTGTTATCTCTTTTATATATTCTGCTTTGGATTTATTTGTCGACGTGAAAGTGACTGATGCGCACAATGGCAAAAATATCCAGTCGTGGGAAATAAAGGTGAAGGCAGGGTGGTTCTTTGTCTTTGTCCACTGTGTCGCGAGTCAGGTGGTGTCTTATTTTAAAGCTCTGTATACATAGCTAGGGTTTCTGTTTCATAGCCAGCGATCTCTGTTAGTAACTGTGCATAACATAATTTTCACACACACCAACCACCACTGAGAATACCACTCACCTTTTATAGTCGTGTTTTCACAACTGATTTGCAGAGTTGACTGTGACATCGGAGTCCTGGCAGTGTAGACCAGGAAGAAAAAAAATGTGATGATATTGGCTACAGTTTTTCTTCCAGCCCACATCAATCTTCCTCCTCAAATGGCAATGCTAATTAGATCTTATATTTGATATATACGATCTTATATTTGGATAACCTCTCTGCGTTCTCATGGATCAGGTAGGTTACATTACTCCCCAGACCTCATTTTTTTCCCCCTCTCATCTATAAGATGGGGGTGACAACACTCCTCCAATAGGGTTTTGGGAAAAATGAAAGAACGTGTACATGAAGGAGGAAGGAAGCAGGAGTTGACTATACCAGGCAGTCAGTGAGTCAGAATAGCAGCCTTTCATATATCACTGTTGCTACTGTTGACTCAATTTTGCCCAGAATGTTGAAGGAATCATCACAAGAAGGGCTTTGAGGGACCCATGTTCTGTCTCTGGGTAACCAGTTTACAAAGACATGATTTCAGAGGTAAGCCGTCCTGCATGGCAGTGGATGAACCACACTTGGACCTGGGGGAAAAAATGTGGTTTCAATTCAGACGCAGTAACAAAAACATTAGCCAAATCTTCTCAGACAGCAAGTCTTTTGCAACATGGTGTCCCCCACCCCCCACCATAGTAAAGAGATATGGAAGAAAGATACCTAATTACCACATGGAACATCATCTTGTGGTCCATTTCACAGGTCTCCCCCCTCCCCCATTTGTAACATCTTAGAAATGCAGACTTAATCGTGAGAGATTAAAAATGCCTATTGTTCTTTCAAAGGGTTTGCAGTGTTCTGATTCCTCCCCCTGCCCCAACTCCCTTCTGTTGAAAATCCAGGAGTTGTCCCATTTTTAGCAAGTAATAACTGTGTCAAGCTGTGCCGGCAAAAATGTCCCAACGCAACTGTTAATAAGCATTGTCATTTTAAGCATGAAACAGTTTAGCTAATGATTTATCTCTTATAATGTAGCACTCGGGGCAGCTGTATGATTGGCCTCTTTAGCAAGTCAAGTAATTTCTTTAACAAAATGTTAAGCACAGATGGGCCAGAAGCTGTCAGTTAACTATTATTGTGTCTACATCTGCTTGCTTTCAATGCACTGTTTTATGTATTCAGTCAGTAACTTAGCCGCAGCTCCGTGAAAAGGCGAACCTACTCTGATTGGCAAATAAAATGTTCATTTGTCTCCTCTTCCTATTGTTTTGTTTTGGTAACACATGTCAGCAGCTCAATTACCCAGTTCATTAACAGCTCCCAAAGGACATGATGGCCAGCCCGTGATAAGAGGGCCATTGTGGCACATATGGTCAATAATGGCCTCTCTCTTGGCAATTGTAAATAAAAGTCACTTGGCTCTTTTCCTTTCACGAGAACTACCGTTTTCCTGTTCCCCTTCAGTGTGCAAATTACCTTTCTTTGCTCCATGCAGCCCAGTCCCCGGGAAACCAGAACCTAGCTTGCCTGCTTTTAGGGCCATGGGGACCTAACACGGAGAGAGCGAGCTCTGGTTCTTAATTTTAATTATGACTGACTTTTAAGCTCTTGAGGGGGGGAATTCTTATCATGGGAGACTATTCTTAGAAAGCTGTTAACTGATTAATTAGTCAACTAATCAGTTTTCCTAATTGAATAGCAACACATTTTCTGGGGGCTTTCCTCTGTTCCTCTTTGAAATGCTCCAGTGGCAGTGACCGCGGCGTTTTTAAAAAGCCATGAGACAACTGCAAATAAAAATCGTTTGCAGGGGTGGGGTAGGGAAGTGTCACTTCATCTTTTCCCTCGGCGAGAGAGATTCATGTTGTTGAGAGCAATTCTCGTCACGCGCACCTCCAGGTCGTAAACCAGAGGGTTCAAGAAGCCACCGAGGTAATCTGGGTCAGCGTCAGGGTCTCTAAGCAAGCAAGGATGCGTCCTGCACTTGAAGCCTGGGGAGGGAGGTGCTGAAACACTTTGGTCACGATTCTGCGGCTCCCCCAGACGAGATGCTGCTGTAGCGCGGGAAGAAAAAGGGCCCAGGCAGGTTTTTCCTTAAATGTATCAAGTGCATATAGCTGTTACAGGCCACTTACTGGCGGGGCTGTGACGAACAAGGAAGCATAAGCCTTTCTTTCTGGCTTTGTTGTTACAAAGGAGGCCTTTGCGGTGACCGATGATCAGGCGAGGCCGTGGGGAGGAACTCCACTCCGAGTTAAGGTGTCTCAGCGTAACCTAGCTGCAGGTGCGCCGCGCACCTGACATTGCGCCGAGATCGGGACCTTAGGCTCTGGGGGGTCTTTGGGGCCGTGCTGCTCATCGCCTGGGAGGCAGCTCGGCTGCTCTGGCGGCGCCACAGCTCTTATCTTAAGTAAACACCCAACGGTCCATGTCGTGCACTTGCGAGAACTCCGGGGCGGGTGTGCAGCACGCGCGGCTGGCCGGATTCATAACCAATCTGTACTCTCCTCCCGGGGCGGCAGGCACTCGGGGAGTTGTTGAGTGTCAGGGTTTATTTGTGCTATTTTGATTAGCACCAACCTGGCAGGAGCTTATTTTCCTTCTAATGACCCCGTGCTGGGAGAAGGCGGCTTCCGAGGGAAGGACCTGGGGGCGGGGGGAGGGGAATAGCGTTACATCTCTGCAACCCCCAAATGGGGACTGCGGGGCAGGGGCCGCAGTGGGGAAGTGGCTGCGGGTCTTAATTAGATGGAGTGTTCTGAAAAGAACCTTTCTTGGAGAAAGCCCAGAATATTCTTGCCACAGATCGTCCTACCTCCTTTTATTTTATTCTTATTCTTTTTTTTGGGGGGGGGGGTACTTGTTAAAGATTCTTGGCTGGCACCTTTGGAGAAGTTGTAGAGGCAACAAAAAGCAAAACAGGACCCCCTCCCCTCCACATGGACCACCGATGAGGTGAAGGGCCATTTCTCCCTGTTTATCCACCAGCAAAATAACAGCTCCTCAAATCGTCCCTGAGTCAGGAATTCTGGGAAGTTCTCTTGGATGCTTGATCGTTTGTTAGGTCACTCACGCACTTTCTACGTCCACCTTTGGATTTGGTCGTCAGTCTTCCCGTGTGTTCCTTTCAGGCGGGTATCTCTTTTCCTTTCTGTATCTCTTTTCCTTTCTTGACCTAGATAGGATTTAAACACACTTAAAAAAATAATGTCGCCGATTACTTCTCAGCTTGTGAATTAATGTGGAAGAGAAGGTTCCAGGTGCTGAAGTCTCTAGACTGGCTTGGATTAACCCCTACTGTGCATCCATTTCAACCGCCCCCCCCCCCCGCCCCTGGAAGAAAAAAAAAAAAAACAACCAACCTCCCCTTTCTCATCCACTCCCGGCTTTCTTTGTGTCTGCTGCTCCCTGCCAGGCAGGTGTCAGACCCCTGAATGAGGGTAAAATGCCCCGTTGATGGATTCCACAGATGGAGCGTGGAAATCGGTAGAATAGGCCTCAGCCACAGGCCATTTCTTGGGATCCAACAAAAGCCTCCAAATAAGTCAACAAAAATCCCAAAGATCACAAAGGGAAAATGTCATTTGTCATTTACTCTGGGTCTGTGAGGGAATATCAGTCTTGCCTCACTCCTCCTGGCTTTCACCCGAGTAAACACGAGAGAGGTCATTCACATCTCTCTCAGTGGAGAAGGGCCCCTTCACATCAGAAAACAGTTAGCTGTCCCATCGTCCCCTTCATGCTGGATGGCAACACTCACAAACGCAGGAGACATTCTGCAGTTAGCCAAGCGGGTGCCTCAAACTTTGAGCTGACCCGTGAAAGACCTTGTGGAATATACCTGCGAGGTCCCCGAAGACCTTCGGATATGGGAGGAAGTGATCTCAGGGAGCTCTCAGGCACGATTCTTACTTTAATTTGTGTTGTATTCTTGTTATTTTTTAATCAGCAAGACACAGCTTTGAGTACAAATGCTGATAGGTCGAGCTTGCAAAGATTAGTACAGACGAAAAGACCGTCTGATGTGGTCTGGGGCCATCTTAGAGTGAATGACTGATGATGACGTTCAGCCTCAGAGCCCGCAGAGAGAGATTCCCACCCCCACCTCCTCCGTGTCTGTAAATTGCATCGTATTATATCTGGGACAAACATAGAGTTTAAATGGTTGTCATGTTTTGATTCTTTAATTATTCAAATGAAAGGTCTTGCTGAGAAGAAAGACAGTGTGCCAAATTCATGCTTGTGAATTATTTTGTTTCTCCATTTTTTGCCTGTCTCCCATCCCTGAATTATATTGGTCTGGAAACCAATAATTATAGAAGTCCACGTGACTAAATCCCTATAAAATTGAGGTAAGATCTCATGTATAATAGCGTTAACTAGGATGAAATATTTCTTCAGGCTACAGAAGAGGTCACAAGGGGTTAACGGACAAAGACATACTCTCTAATTCTGTAATTCCTTCTTTAATTAAACTTCATGGTTGGTCCGCTGGTGGTAAATACTTCTGCCTTCTCCTCCCAGTTTGATTTGTTTCCGAAGGAAGAATTTGTAATCCTGTGGGGGTAATGATTGTTGCCTATGCTTGACCTCTTTCTCTCTCTCTCTCTCTCTCTCTCTCTCTTTTTTTTTTTAAACTGATGATGTCCACGTTCCCAAGGTTAATCTTGGGAGTTAATGTGAAATCATTGGGGTCACTAAAAATTTGGCTGCTGAGACCTAAAATTAGCTTGAGAGGGAAAAGGAAGAAATGACCTTTCATACAAAGCACGGAACTGAAACACTGAGGCACCTGGGGAGAGGTGACTGTTTGCCTGGGATCACTGTGGGGCATCTACTGAATAACTTGTGAATACCCCAACAGATTTCAAGTTATTTATTCCTGCACTTTTGTCTGAAAACAGTTTGAGGTTACTTTACAGGGCTTGAGATCCTTTCACTAAGATGTTTTTAATAGCAAAAAAGAAGGATTTAGTAAAGCTGTAAAATGAGTGATCAGTTCAACTGCTTGTGACCAATAGTATCTTCTAGATCGACGCTGGATCTTATGACCAGGGCTCTGCAATGATTCTTAAGGGAGACTTCAAATGGTCAGACTATTTTGTTTTCTTAAATAAATCCATTCAGCATCTTGGCAAATGGATTAGTTTCTTAGGGCTTTACCCTTGTTTAATGACTACCCTTGAATATACAAAGAATTCAATAAATGTTCATTGAATGGAGTTAAATTCGATCAGGAAATTGATTTGGTGTATAATATTAAACGGTTGTGTTTTCATAAATTTCATTTGATTCTAGGAGGTTTTTGAAAACCTTGGACAAATGAGTCATTGGTGGCAATCAGCTAAATAACTTGTATTAGAATTCCTGTTTGGATTTGTTTCTGGTATTTCTCTTCAAAAGGACCGTGTGTGTGTGTGTGTGTGTGCGCGCGCGCGCACGTGTGCATGTGCGCACACACACGTGAGAGAGAGAGAGAGAGAGAGAGAGAGGGAGAGAGAGAGAGAGAGAGAGAGAGAGAGAAAGGAAGGAACTGAGCACCTATTTAGAACATACCAGGCTAGAAGAAAGAAA